CGGGCTATCCCATCGACTCCCAGACGCTAGCCGGCGCTAGTCGACGCTATGAACGGAACTAAGAGGGTACACCAGGCTCCCATGATTTGCTTCCGAACTCGCAGCAGTTTCGTCCGACCCAAGGGGAGTGGGGGGGCAACGCGCGCGCGGGGCCTACGCCGTAGCCCAGGGCCTCGGCGCGGCACCCGGCCGGGCTACACGGGCATGCGAATCCGCGCTCGGTGGCCGCGCGCCGGAGATGCCCCGAAGGCGAGCGCGAGGGGGTCCCTGCGGGGGCAGTTGACCAGGTGGCGACGGTCAAGAGGCAACTGTGCTGCAGGCTCTGGCAAAATTTTAGGAAGAAAATCCTGGAGGCCTCGCGCGGCAACTTGAGACCCGATTAACGTCGGATCTACGTCGGATTTACGTCGGGTTCACGTCGATTTACGTCGGACTGACTCCTGAGCATCGCCGCGCGAGCGTCGACCCATAGCTTACGGAACTGACAAGTGGACTAGATCATACCACTATTACGCGCCGCGCGAGGCCTCCAGGATTTCCCTCATAGAAAATTGCTTGCACCGAGGGGGGTCGACAGGCTCTGGGGGCCTCCGAGGCACGGGCTCGTTCGCAGGCTGGACGCTGCTCGCGCAGCGCACCGGAGGCCGAGCAGGCGCCGTCTCGGCCAGACAGAGAAAGGGGGGCGTAGCGAGGCCCGGAAAGAGATCCGGTCGCCAGGTAAGCCGGGGCTCACCTGCACGCCTTCTCGGTCCAGCCGTGCTTGAAATGGCGGCGGAGGGGAGGGGGGCGAAGTGCCATGCAAGAGAACTCGCCAGGGTCTCAATGAGAGCACGCTCCAGGCCAGGTGCAACCTCTTGTCGGTATCCTGAGTCACCAAACCTCGCGCATCGCGACCCGCGATGCGCGATTGCCTTCTCGCCCTCGCGCACTGGAGTCACCCCTGCTGGATCATGCCGCATCCCTGGCCAAGGCCGCGATAAGCGACGCGGGGCTATCTTCACGCCCCCTCGGGCAGGTATCGGCCTGACGTGTCGTTCCTCACTGGCGTCTTCTGGGCCAGGCTGACTACTTGTTGGCGATGTGTACACACAACAGGAGTGGTGGAAAAGCGTTGGCCGAGCACGTGTGCAAGACGCCACAGTGCATGTGGAGTGTCGAGGTTCCCCGCCTATAGGGCGTTCTGTGGTGCCTTCCTGTATGCTCTCTTGGGCCGAATCTCCTTCTGTGGCCTCCGGAGCTCTGGAGCACTACTTAAAGATGATGCCCCGACTCGTTTGTTCTCTATCAGGGCGTGTCACCGCAAACGTATGAACTGTACAGCCGCCACGGGACCAGCACCCCCCATAGCGGAACAGTTTACTTCATAGTGCGCTCTTCGCCCGCGAAATCCACGGAGCCCACCAAGGGCACACGCGCCCAGCCACGCACATGACTGCGGCCCCCCAGTCCGCGAGCCAGCCTCGCGCTACGAGCGTCCGCGTAGCGCGCACTCTCGAGACCAGCGCAGACTCATGTGGACCTGTGCAGCCGGACCTAGGCCAGCAGAGCACCCTTGGCGGCGCGCACCGGGGGTGGGGAGGGGGGAGGGCTTCATAGAAGGAGGCTGCTTCTTAGAAGGCGCCGGCCTTACATCTATAGAGGAGGCACGCGCCTTCTAAGAAGCAGGGGTGCTTCTAAGAAGCCCTCCCCCCTCCCCCCACCCCCCTCTGCGCGTGGCTGACAACCCTCAAGAGCACGAGACACCCCGCCGGCCAAACAAATACACACACACAGAGCATCCAAGGGCACCCTCCCCAGGGTGCACAAGAACATCCAACAGACACGAAGGACACTGCGACGGCGGCCTCGGTGGCCCTTCACGCCTGCCGACGCGGCCGCCCCAGGCGGCTCGCGATCGTCGGCGTATGCACGCTTGAGCAGGGCACGACCGTCCTGGCCGTCCTTTAGGCCGATCTGCCACGGCATGCTCTTCGTCTCACTTTAAAAAAAGAGCGTTCGAATGACAAAACATACATCTCAACACAGAAAGCAGATGTGTCAGCACCAGACGGTCTCAAACCTGGCATGTTCCAAACATAGTTCGTGCAAATCACGACACATTTTTAGATATGGATGTCATGATACGATTGGCTCAGGATGCGTTTCAGGATTTCCAGAGTACCTAGCGGCCCTCGTTTCGGGAGTCAGCGTGGAACCTTCGGAACCATCGCATCATTATAGTTGATGACCTACTGCTCCTATGACAGAAAGACTCTAGGTAAGCCCGGACGCCCCGCACCTAGCGCTGACGACCGCACCGTCGCCAGCAAACTGCACGGACGTCGACCAGGGCGCCTACGCCGACCACCGTGCGGGCGCCCATGTTAACGCCGACGTCGGCGCCGTCGCCAACACCGTCGTCAACACCGACGCCGACGTCGACGTAGCCTACACTGGTACCCGCGCCAGCACCGCCGCCAGCTCCAACGCCGACGTGCACGTGGGAGACGTCGCCAGCACCAACGCCAGCGCGGCATGCTTTGGCACCCGCAGCAGCGCCGCCGAACGCGTCGACGCCGGGCATCGCCGTCGGCGCCCGCGCATGCACTCACACCAGCGCGCGCGCCAGCACCTGTGCCGACCCCGACGTGGGCGCCTACGCTGCACCAGCACCACCGAGGCCGCCAGCACCTGTGCCGACGCGGACGCGGACGTCCACGCTAGCACCAACGATCGAGGCAGCGACCGATGCCGTCGAGAGGGGACCCCCGACGTCATGATTATTTCGTGACATGGACCCCCAGAGGTTGGCGGCGCGCACAGTGGGGTAGGGCGATGGGGGAAAGCTTCTTAGAGGGAGGCTGCTCCTTAGAAAGCGCTGGCCCTGCATCTACAGAGAAGGCCCGCGCCTTCTAAGAAGCAGGGGTGCTTCTCGGAAGCCTTCTCCCCTCCTCCATACCTCCATACCTCCATACCTCCATACCTCCTCCCTCCTCCCTCCTCCCTCCTCCCTCCTGAGGTCTCGATCCACTTCCCAGAACAATTCGTTCATCCCGAACCCTTTTTGTTGGCCGGCCCCGGGGCCCGGCGAGGGAGCCCAAAGGTGGAGAGTTGCCACCAAACATCCGTCCTGAAGTGATGGGCAACGATAGGCGGGGACTGGCACAGGGGGGGGAACCATCGACCTGGAATCGGCGATACATCGCCGATGGACTGGCAGTGGACCTCCGATAAAGGATCCGCACGTTTCTGGGCAGGGTGGGGCAAACAGACCGCCAACCGCGTTCCATGGGCGATGGGGGGTCGATGTATCCCCCCTATGCCGATCCCCGCCTATCAATGCCCTGAATGAGAGGGTTCGGGACCCACTCGGCGATCGATGCGGCGACCGATGCAGCCGAGGGCTTGCGATCGATGCGACGGTGCCCCCCTCCCTGGCGCGCGACGCGCGCCAAGAGCGGCGCCGGAGGCGCCGCCTGGGGGGGCCCCACGCAGATCCAAGAAATCCGCGCGGAGCGCCCAAAGTTCGCGCTTATATTACTTGCTCCTTCTTCTATCGATGGCCGCCTGGGTCCCGAACCCCCTTCCCCAGGGGCAACGATAGGGGGGATAGGCGTAGGGGGGCACGCATCAACCCCCAACCGCCCCCTGGCCATCGCTCGGACGTCCAATTCCTGTGCCTTTTTTTTGGTTTCGTGCGTGGTTTTTCGCCAAATGATCAAGGATGCTCCTCGATGGTCCCCGCCGAAGGAGACATGCACACGTCCGAGCGATGCCAGGAGCCCATGGATCGCGCAGCGCCAGAAGCTTATGCTCATGGCGTCGACAGGCGGCGACCGATGCCGCCGAGGGCCGGCGCGCTGACCTCGGCACCCCTGCCGGGCGGCGGAGCCGCCGAGGCCTCCCTCCGAGCTCGGCGCCAGCCGCCGAGGACTCCCGCCGGGGGCCTGACGGCGTTCGCGAAGCCACCGGCCGGACCGGCGCGCGCCGGGGCCACCGAGGCCGCGGCCGCCGCGGCGCACCGGCGGAAGTAGTCCGCCGACCCCTTGTGGGTCTCTAGGCGTGTGAAATAGTTTCCCCCCCATAACCCCCCCAGGGACCCCAAACCGGAGATTTGACTTCCCCCCCGGCCCCCGACGGCCCCGGACAGAGCGCGTCATGGGGGAGCGGAGGGCTCCAAAACGGGGCAAGAGAACACTTTGACGCCTCTCAAACGGCCCAAGAGACCCACGAATCGCCGAAAGATCGAGCCAAGACGTCCAAGATGACATCCAAACGGCCCAAGATGCCTCCAAGACGCTCCCAGACGCCTCCAAGAGGCCCCAAGAGGCGCCCAAGAGGCGTCCCAAGAGGGCCCCAAGAGGCCAACATCATCGATGTCCTATTAGGAAACGTCTATTTTTAACATATCCGGCTTTTCAGCTTTGACGGCGTTCAAGACCGGCCAAAAAGCCCCCAAGACCGCCCCAAGACGGCCCAAGAGGCTCCCCGGAGGTCCCCAAAACAGCCCAAGAGGGCGCCAAGACGGCCCAAGAGGCGCCCAAGACGGTCCAAGAGGGCCCCAAGACGGCCCCAAAAGGGGGACCACGAACCGAAAATCCAAACCATTCGCCCCGACAATGTCCCAGGAGGCCCCACGAAGTCCTCAGGAGAGCCCCAAGAGGATCCCAAAAAGCCCCAAGAGGCCCCCAAGAGGCGCCCACAAGGCTCCACGAGGCCCCCCAAAAACCCCCAAAAAACCCAAAAGGGTTCCAAGAGGCCCCAAAGCGGCCCCCAAGATGCTTCGAAAGTGCCTCCGCGAACCTCGCGAAAAGCCTGACCCCCCCTTCCGCCTCTCCCCCATATTCCCCCTGCCCCTTCCCCTCCTCCTTTTCCTCCTCCTCGTCCTCGTCCTCGTCCTCCTCCTCCTCCTCCTCCTCTTCCTCCTCCTCCTCCTCCTCCTCCTCCTCCTCTGATTTCACCTTGGGACCCTCGTCCCTGGCCGTGCAGCCGCAGCTCGGGTTCACTGGGGCATCCCGCAGGGCCTGGTCTGCATCAGTCTTTACTGTGTGGACTCCGTGGGCTTCGCGGGGCCCAACTTGGATGTGCTGTGGAGAGTTTTCGAGTACTGTTGCCAGCTCAACGCCCAGGGCGAGGACTTCGTCATCATGGGCGACTGGAATATGGCCTCCGATGTGGAGGGGCTCCGCGAGGCGCTGTTGTCGGTTCGTGCCATTCCCTTCGCCCCCGGGGACGTGACTTGCGTTCAGGGGGAGGGCTCCATCATCGACTTCATGGCAGCGTCGTCGAACCTGGTCTCCAGGCTTGACAGCCAGGTGACAGCACAGCTCGACTCTGACTTGTACCCGCACCGCCCTGTGCACCTGCGGATGCGGGGCTGCGATCGCCCAGCCTGGTGCAGGGTGGCCGACGAGCCCAGGCCGCTCTCGGCGCTGCCCCCTCCTGGGTGTGCCAGGCCGCCTTACGACTGGGGGCCGCTGGCGGCGGATGCCCAGGTGGTCACGGAGTCCGACGGGCTGGTCCAGCTCTGGGACGCCGTGCTGCACGGGATCGACGCCGAGCTCTGCGCGCGCTGGGACAAGGTCGGGGCACAGGCCAAGGCGCACTCGGGCCGAGCGGGGCCCCTCCAGGTGCGCTGGCAGCTTCTGAGATGGCGGCCACGGCGGCGACGGCACTATCGCGACGGTTCCGTTCGACCATGGGTCGTGGCCAAGAGGTGGATGACTCACCTTACGGCTGTTCGTCAGCGGCTGCAGGAGCAGCTCGGCGGCCTGAACTTGGCGGCGGCCATGTGTGACCTGATGCCCTGCCAGTGCTTTGGCGTCCTGCGGGAATTGGAGGAGGCCCACCGCTACTTGGTGAAGGTCTCGAGGCAGCGGGCGGTCCTGGCCGCCGTCGACCCGACGGTGGCCAAGTACTTGCAGAGGGGCCTCATGCTGCTGGTCTCGCCGCACTTCGACTACTGCGTCGACCTGGTGGTGCGCGTGGCGGACCAGAAACTAAGCGACGCCCAGGCCGCTTCGGAGGCGGCGTGGCGCGGCCGGCTGCAAGAGGCCTTCCTTCGGGGGGCGCGGGGGGCCCACCGTGCCTCCAAGATCGTCCCCATGCAGCCCCTGCTGCAGCTGGAGGGCGAGGTGCAGCCTTATGTGGTGGCCGACGCGGCGCTCCAGGAGTGGGAGGACGTCTGGTCCCACCACGGCGCGGCGTGGCTGCCCAAGCCTGCTGACTTCGACCAGTGGGAGCTGCTGCCGCCGATCACCGTCCAGGACATGCGGGCGGCGATTTGGAGCTACCCGGCCACCACCGCCCGGGGGCCTACTCGCCTGGCGCCCAAGTCTCTCTACTTTGTGTCGGACGAGGGGCTGCGGGCGATCGCGAGGCTCCTGGAAGCCTGGGAGCGGTTGGGCATGTGGCCCGACGGGCGCGTGGAGTCGGAGCTCGTGCAGATGAGCAAGGCGGACGGGGGCAAGCGCCTCATTGCCTTACTCCACACCCTGACGCGCTTGTGGGGGAAGCTGCGCCGTCCCCTGGGGAAGCGGTGGGAGGAGACCCATGCTGCCCCCTGGGTCTGGGGCAATCGCTCCCGCTTCACATCCAGCGACTCGGCATTCGACCTGAACCTGGAGCAGGAGGTGGCCACCCTGTTGGACGAGCAAAGCGGCACCTGGGTGAGTGACATGGCCAAGTGCTTCGAGCTGGTGGACAGCAGCCAGCTTCTTTTGGAGGCCCGGGAATGCAATTTTCCCTTGCGGCTCGTGTGGATGATGATTGACCTCTACCACCAGCCTCGTAGGGTTCGGGTGGGGCCCAGCCTGTCGCTGGCCATGCTGGTCTTCCAGGGCGTGCTGGCGGGGTGCACTCACGCTCCCACGGCGCTCCTGGTCCTGACCCACCGCGCGATGGCGAGGCTCAGCAAGATGTGCCCCAACGTGCGGCCCAGGCAGCTGATGGACGACATCACCCTGCACTACGTGGGGCCCCGCGAGGCAGAGGCCAGCCAGCTCGAGGTCGCCGCCGTCGAGCTGACGCGTTGCGTGCAAGGCCTCGGCATGCGGGTCAAGCGGGCCAAGTCTGGCTTGGTTTTCAACCGCGCGTGCTTTGCGCACCGCTTCCGCGCGCGGGCCGTGCAGATCGGCCTGCGCCCGAGGCGGGCGATGCGCAACCTCGGACACGAGCACCACGGGCCGAGGGTGTTCCGGCGGCAGGAGGCGGCGCGCGTGGCGGCCCTCGTCGCGAGGGGCCGCCGAGTGGCCATGCTGTCCCGCGGAGCGGGGCGCAAGGCGGCGCAGCTGTGGCGCACTGGGCTGGCCCCGTCGGTCGCCCACGGCGCGGGCGTCAGCGGCATGGCGGATCATCGGCTTCGCCACCTCCGGCGCGCTGCGGCCACCCTGAATGGGTGGAGGCCTGGCTCTGGATGCACGGCCTACTTGCTGACGCATCCCAGCCCGCGCTTCGACCCGATCTACGACGTCTCGGTGCCGTTGATCCTCCGGTACGCGGGCTGGCTGTGGGACGGCCGCACGTCCGGCGCCAGGCTGCAGAAGGCTTGGGACGCGGCCCACGCCAAGATCGAGGGCACCACCTTCGGCACGGCGCGTGGGCCGCTCACGTCCACATGGCTGTCGCTGCGGAGGCTAGGTTGGGAGATGCTCTCTCCGGCCCACGTGAGGTCCGACACGGGCGAGGTCTTTTCGCTCCTGCGCGTGCCGCCAGAGGACCTTCGCCACCATTTGATGAGGTCCATCGAGCGGTGGCAGGCGCAGAGGCTGCTGGGGCACATGCACCTGGCCTCGGGCGACGAGCAGGTGTGGGTCCGAGGCATTCGCCTCGGCTTGCGCGCGCTTCCGCCGAGGCAGCTGGGCGCGCTGCAGATGCTGTGGTCTGGCCGCTACTTCACTCCTGAGCGGCGGGCAGCTGTGGAAGGCTATGGCAAGCTGCATTGCCGTGCGTGCGGCGCCGAGTACGGCAACTACGGGCACATCTGGCTGGGCTGCCCGAAGCTGCTGGATGTGCCGCCGGGGAGCTCCCTCCCTCCGCTGCCCGAGGCCCTCGAAGCCACTAGAGCCATGTTGGCGGAGATCGGCTCGATGTGCCACTTCGACGACCTGGAGTGCGGGTACGGCCTCCCGAGCGTGCCGCACGCGTTCGCGGTGAAGGCCGCGGAGAACGCGCTCCCGACGTTCTTCTGGGGCGACGCCGAGCCTGCTTCGTGGGGCCCTGAGTCGTGCACAGATGGCTCGGGCTTCGAGTCGGCGCAGCCCGAGTTGACGCGCTGCGGTTGGTCCGCAGTTCAGATTGATGAACACTTGTTGCCTGCCCGGGCCATGTACGGCCCTCTCCCGGGCATCCAGACAGTAGGCAGAGCTGAGAGATGGGCTGTGCTTCGTCTTGTCCAGCACGCGTCTGCCACGCGGCACATCGTGAGTGATTTGTTGAGTTTGGTGTCTGAGGGCGAGTCTTGGGACCCCGCCCTTGAGAGCTCCAGAGGCAAGCATGCTCGGATTTGGAGGCTCATTTTCGGGGCGGTAGGTTCCAGAGCGCCCCCTAGGTTTAGCTGGACCCCAGCCCACAAGAGCCCCGAGGAGGCCCTCTCTCTTGAGATCCCTCTCAGGTGGTGGGTGGGGAATCTGTGGGCCGACTGGTTTGCCAAGCTCGGGGCGTCAGCGCATGCTGTGTCGTCGGTGCACGCTGAGTACCTCTCGTCGGAGCTCCAGCGTGCCAAGGCGATCCTGAAGTATGTCTCTTGGGCGGCCAGACGAGCGGTCGAGCTCGACCTTTGGCACGACCCGCCCGAGGCCGCCCCCAGGCGTCCCCGTGCAGGTGGGCCGCCAGTTCTCAGGCTAATGTCGCACTCCCTCGTTCGTGTCGAGCCCTCAATGGAGGTCCGGTGCCGCAAGTGTATGTGCGTTGCCCGCACAAGCGGGCACCTTGCCCACCTTGTGAATGATGAATGTAAGCCTCTGCCAACCCAAGCGTGGGCCGCGAGGTGTTTTTTCTCGAAGCCAGGTGTGGTGGTTCGCGATTTCAGGGGTCCTGTTACGGGTCCGTGCGTGTCCGAGGCCCTGGCGGCAGCTGAGGAGGTCCTGGGGCCCGTGCCTGCGCCGCCAGGGGAGCCACATGGGCTCGAGGCCTTCAGGGAGCTAAATCACATTTTAGTCACCCACGGTGCCATGGTCTGCTGCACCCAGTGTGGGGCCTCGGCGTCGGGGGAGGAGGGGTGGAGCGGTCGTTCGAATCTGAATTCGAAGTGCGCGGGGCCGTCTTCCAATCCTGCCACCAGGGCCAACCAAAAGCGGAAGGCCGACATGGTGCAGCGTGGCCGCCACCCCAAGACAGGGGCCCCGTTGTGAATGCAAATATTTAAGATTTCGGTGTGCCGGTCCATCCGTGCAGATTTCGGTGTACCGGTCCATCCGTGCATTCTGGCTGTAACGACGCTACAGGGCGGCTGAGGGGCAGAGAGGCTGCACTCTTCACACCCGCTGCCCCCACTGGCCTGAACTCGTTCATATCCCGCCTTAAGTGGCTAGGGGTTCCATGTTTCCAAGGTTTTTCGGTTTCTCGGAGAATTCCTGCTGGCTGCTCGTCCTCTGATTTCACCTTCTTTGCGTTCCTCTTGTCATCGGCCTCGTCCTCCCTCTCGCTCGGACCCCCGCTGCTCCTACTTCTACTGGCCATGGCACGGGCACCCTACTGGTATCATTTGCATGCCTTGCGTTTCAAGGCGCCCTTCTTCTCGTCACGCGCGACATGGCACGCGTCCACGGAGAAAGCCGACTTCGGGAATCCCACCAGCCCTTTGGGCGTGAGTGGTTTAGCGAGCTTTCTCTGTCCTCAACCCCCCTTTCTTCCCCTTCGGGGAGGGGTTTACCCCTCCCCCTCCCCCCTCCCCCTGGGCCTGGACAGGGAGTCCCGAGTGTTCTCAGGGGGGTCTTTTTCGACTCCTGGGAGGGCCAAAAAAACGACGACCCTCACGAGGATTCTGGCCCCGAGGGGGGGGGGGGAGTTTGGCGCCTGAGCTCGTCGTTGAAGTAAAAAACATTAATTTTACTATGGTTTTGGCCCCATTTTGGCCTTATGAGGGGGCCGCGTTCCTCTTCCTTCTTAGCAGAATCATTGGTTTTACGAAGGTGTTGGGCTGATTTTGTCCTTCTCAAGGGTCAGCGCTTATCAGCGCTTCCCAGGAGGTCGCAAGAGACCCCAAGATAGCCCCAAGAGGCTCCCAGGAGGCTCCCAAGAGGCCTCCAGGAGGCCCCCAAGAGGCCCCCCAGAGGCCCCTCGAGGTCCCCTCGAGGCTCCCAAGAGGCCCCCAAGAGGCCCCAAGAGGCTCCAATAGGCCCCCAAGACGCCCCCAAGAGGCCCCCAAGAGGCCCCCCCAGACGCCCCAAGAGCTCCAAGAGGCCCCCAACAGGCCCAACGAGGAGCCCGAACGACTCACACCAGGACGACATACCCCAACGACTCACACCACGAGGAGCCCGAACGAGTCACACCACAAGGAAGGGCCTGAACGCCTCACACCAAGACGAGGCGCCCGAACGACTCACACCACGAGGAGCCCGAACGACTCACACCACGACGCGGGCCCCGAACGACTCACACCACGAGGAGCCCGAACGAGTTACACCAGGAGGAGGGGACCGAACGACTCACACACAAGGAGGGGACTCACACCACGAGGAGCCCGAACGACGTGCACACAATGAGGGGCCCGAAGGAGTTACACAAGGAAGGGCGAGGGGCCCCAACGACTCATACCACGAAGAGCTGGAACGACTCACATATCTGCAACGCACACAGACGCGAACACTCGCATTATCTCTGGCGCGCCTGCGTGTCCTCGAGCGATAGCCGCCACAACGCTGCTACAACGAGGGCGGGGCCGATGGGGCAAGGAGTGAAACATGCATCATAACAACAACTGGCCAATTTAATATACTCTATGGGGCCACCTGGGGAAGGAGTGCAATATGCATCACAACAACACGTGGCCGATATAATCTACTCTATGTTTCGGCCCCATTTCGGCGTTCGGAGGGAACAGCGCTTCTCTGCCTTCATGAAACAAACATTGATTGTACGAAAATATTGGGTTCTCCTGTCCTTATCCGGGGGCATCGCTCGCTCGCGCTTCGAAGGATCGCTCGAGGCTCCAAGCTGGCCCCAAAGGCCCCCAGGAGGCTCCACAGAGGCTTCCAAGATGCCCCCAAGAACCTCCCAAGAGGACCCCAGAGGCGCCCAAGAGGTCCCCAAGAGGCTCCAGGACGCCCCAGGAGGCTCCCAAGAGGGCCTCCAGAGGCCCCCACGAGGCCCTCGGGAGGCCTCACAGGCCTCGAGGAGGCACCCAAGAGGGCCCCACGAGGAAGCCGAACGACTCAACCCAGGACGAGGGGCCCCAGCGACGCACACCAGGACGAGCGGCCCGAACGACTCACACCACGAGAAGCCCGAACGACTCACACGCAAGGAGGCGTCCCAACGACGCACACCAAGACGAGGGGCCCGAACCACTTCCACCACGAGAAGCCCGAACGACTC